TAGAAGATGGCTAACTACAACTTGGTTTACTTCGATCTTAGAGGACGAGGAGAGAGCATAAGAATGGTTCTTGCTTTTACAGGAGTAAAGTATACTGAAGAACGAGTAACTATGGAAGGATGGCCAGAAATCAAATCAAGTAAGTAAGGAATTCTTCGCATGACTCGCAAATCGGTCCTTTTAAGGTAGATTTAGTATTATAATAGCATAACTTGAAAAAAAACTCTGGTATATTATTGTTATTTAACAGGGCCGTGTAGGAGCTTGAAGTGTCCTAGCCCTCTGTGGGCACCACTTCTATGGTGTATTATCATTAACGCCAATTACAAAGCAACAAGATGAAACATCTTCATGTGTGGAAGTTGAATGTGGGGCATTTGCATCAACAACTGATTCAGACGGCATATTTCTGCTGAACCTAATCCACTTAGGGGGGAGAGACCCAGTTGTTGTGTATTAGGCACGGCACATGACAACATAACTATTGATTTTTAACTTGAAGATTTTAATTTTTCAGGTGGCCGATGTCCCTTTGGACAGTTACCCTTATTAGAGCTTGGCAACGGGCGTGTTATCAGCCAGTCTGTTGCAATACTCAGGTTTCTTGCTCTGGAAAATGGTAATTTCAAAGTTCCAATCAGTCCTAATTTATCAATGTCATCAATTATCAAGGATAACATTTAACTAGATTCTCCATACTTAATTAGAGACTGAACTGCTGCTGCTAATACTAAAGCCAGTTATTTTGTTTGCATTAGCTACTTTTTTCACTCTTTTGACATGCTGGAGGATGTACTATAGATAGACCTAGACCTTTCTCTAATCAGATTTACCACTCCAGGCTTTGGTACAGCAGAAAAGCTGCAATAGTAAACTAATCCTGTTAATATACAATCTGTACCTGCAGGGGTAGCTCCTGACAATGCTTACGAACGTGCAAGAGCTGATATGATTGTAGATTCTGTCAAGGATATGGAAGACAAGATGGCAATGCTTTATTGGGAAAAGGATGAACAGCGCAAGGTAATGAACATTGTATTGTCACACTTAGTTTACAGATATGTGGTGTAAACACTRTAATGGGGCAGTCACTGTCAAAATTTCTCTATCACCAGAATTTTTCTGTAGATCTTTTGCATCCTCTTATCAACTGTCTGGAATTGTAAAAAAATATGAATTTCCTTTTTTTTCATTCATTTTGTTATCCAAAGTACAATTGCAATTGCATTGACCTACTTTCATTTAACAGTACTGTGTTCATCTTATTGAGATAAACTGAAATATTTATCTAAGATTATAGCTGTATATTTTAGGCACAGCTGAATACATCAATTTATGATGACAATCTTCCAAAGCTGATGGGATTCTTAACCAAAATACTGGAAGGAAACAATGGTGGGAAAGGATACCTTGTGGGAAATAAGGTGAGTGTTAAACATGAATACACAACTTGAGATAAATCTTTCCTGATAACCACATTCACCACTACTATACTTAGGCTACAGGGATGGCGCAGCAGTTTTTTGATTGGGGGCTCAATAGTGACATTGTATGGCAAGGTGGGGGGCTGAGTTTAGTGAAAATGTCTATGAATGTCAGAGATCTGTTTGATAAAGGTTAAAACTTTATCAGTCATATTTAAGACTAAATGATTGGAGGTATAGGGTTCATCACCATCACATGGCCAGTTGATACTYGTACTAGGTAATCATAGTGCAGTGTGATTCGATTGACTTTCCTGGTTTATCCTCATATTACTAAGCTTTACATCCCTGTAGCCATTACCAACTTCACCTAATAACTAACACTAACTAATATTAATGTTACATTTACCCAGATTTCCTATGCTGATATCAATGTGTTTGGTTTTTTCAATGGATATCTTGGAGGAGGAAAGTTAGAAGTTCCTGAGCAAATCAAGGCATTTCCTCTCCTGGTTGATTTGTACAACAGAGTCATGAATGAACCTAAGATTCTAGAATATCTTAAGAATAGAAAACCCAATCCAGATTGGTATCCTTACTAGATAATCTTGTCCTCAATGTTCTAGCAAAGGTGAGAAACCTAAGATCTTAGAATATCTTAAGAAGAGAAAACTCAATCCTGATTGGTATCCTTACTAGATAATCTTAATTGTCTTCAATGTTCCAGCAAAGCTTTTTAAGGGGTTTTTAATCATTTTAAATAAAATTGCATGGTTAACCTTCCTTTGTACTTGTCATGTTCTTCTTCAATCTGAGATACTAAAAATAAAGAAAAACAAAGTCACTCTGTAGGGAAATAAGTCATGAAATGACTATACCCTAAGGCAAGGGGAAGCAATGGCTCCTTCATCACTTCATGGAGGGGTGGCCTTCCTTTTTGAACATATAAGGCGGGGCTTGGTTATACAAAGTGTGGATAGCGCTAATCTGATGGATAAATCTAATCTAGTAGATAAATTTATTGATGAGGATGAGGATTTATCTGTTGGATAGCACTTTCTGGCCCTTTATACAACTGGGCCGAGGTGTCTGGCTATGGGAGGTGTCT